TCGTGCTTCGGGCTCACTGTACAGTGCTTCCACCGCCGCAATAAATTGGTCGGGCATCCCGAATTTTGACAGAACTGCCCTGAGAAAGCCCCAGTGCAGCCTGTCAAAGGCCTTTTCGGCATCCAGTGACAGGAATATTCCCCCTTTATCTCGCTTCTGGAGCTTATGCAGCAGGTTTATAACTTTCCGCGTATTGTCTGCCCCCTGCCTCCCCCTTACAAAGCCCACTTGATCAGTGTGTATTATGTGTGGGATTATAGCCCCTAATCTTGTGGCGTATATTTTAGCGAACAGCTTCGCGTCGGTATTCAATAGCGATATGGGCCTAAAATTCTGCGGGGTTGTTGGGGGTTTGTTGGGTTTTGGCAGCGTGACGATGTGGGCCTGTAACATCTCTTTCGGTAGGGATCTTTTGTCTATTGCGTTATTGAAGGTTGTTGCCAGATATGGTGCTAATATTTGGTTGAACTTTTTGTAGTAGAGGTTCGTGAACCCATCCGGGCCCGGCGATTTGCCCGTTGGTAGGGAGTGTATGGTTTTTATGACTTCTTGGGGTTCTATTTTTCTAGTTAGGTCTGTTTTCTGTTGTGTAGTAAGCGTAGGCATCTGTATCTTGTCTAAGTAGGTTGCTATGTTACTGTCATCAGGTTGTATCGTGTCTTTGTCCTCTCGTAGGTTATACAGGTCGTGATAGTAGTTGGCAAACACTTCACTAATTTCTATGGGTGTAGTGCGTTTTCTACCCTTATCTAGTACGTATGCGATTTTTTGGTTAGTCTGTTTTTGTTTAAGGTGTTGTGCTACTAATTTACTCGCCTTGTTCCCCTGCATATAGTTGTTTATCTTAAGTTTGGTCATTTGGGTTTGTGTTTGTTCTAGTGCTTGTTGTCGTATTAATCCTGTTATGTGTAGGATGCGGTGCTTCTTGTCCACTGTTGGGTGAATCTGATTTTGTGTGTTCAAGTCATATAATTCTTGTTGCCATTGTTTTAGCTTGGCTTGTGATAGTTTTTTGAGGTATGTTGCTCTCCTGATCAGCAGTCCTCGTGCTACTGTTTTATGTGCCTGCCAAACTGTCTCTGGGGCTACCTCACCATTGTCATTTAGGGTAAAATAGGATTGTAGGTCTTTCCGGAGTTCCTCCGTGTAGACTTTGTTAAGTAGCAGTGTATTGTTTAGCTTCCAGGGGCTTCGGTTTTTAAAATCGTATATGTTTTTCATGTCTAGGGTCACTGGCGCGTGGTCCGACCATGTAATTTGCTTTATGTCACAGAGTTGGAGTTGGTTTAAGTGTGCGCCAGAGATGAGGAATCCATCTATTCTGGAATATGTGTTGTGGACGTTGGAGAAGTGCGTGTATGCTCTTTCCCCTGGGTGCATTATTCGCCATGCATCGTAGAAATGGTGTTCATGCATTAGTTTTTGTAGGGCTTTGCATTGTCGTGCCAGTGGTCTCCGTCTATGGCTATTTTGGGATAGGGTAGTGTCTAGAGTGGGGTCCCATATGTGGTTGAAATCTCCACATAGAATAGTAATACCCAGTTGTATTTGGCTCACTTTTTTGAGGATGCCTTGGAGGAAGCGTTTTTGGTTTCTATTTGGTGTATAGAGGCTGACTAACGTGTGGTCCATGTCATTTATCTTGCCCTGTAGTATGATATACCTGCCATTCGTGTCAATCTCTTGATGCTGTAAGTTGAAGGTCAGGTGTCTACTCAAGAGGATGGAGGTGCCTCTAGTTTTGTGTGGGGATGTAGCGTGGTATTGGTGTGGGAAGTTGATGGTATGTAGGTTGGGATGGTCGTTATGCCTGAAGTGCGTTTCCTGTAGGCACACTATGTCAGCGTCAAGGGTTTTGAGTTCCCTAGTTAGCATATGTCTTTTCATGGGTATGTTCAGTCCCCGTACATTATATGTGCAGATTCTCACGGTGGTTTCCCCGGGTATCTTTGTGAGTATCTTGTGTCGTGTTCTATCAGTTTAGGGACCACCGCTTTTCCCAGCAGTATCAAGCCTAGTGGTGGTACTCCTTTGGTGTTGTGGACTTGGGGGAATTGTGAAAACCTAATGGAGATGATATCTAGCGAAGCCCGTGGGGGCCTATAGTGTCTGTGCAAGATGATTGGTACCAGGGGGCAGCTCCCATGCCCCTTTGTTTTGTGTGTAAAGCAGTGTACAGAATCATAAACAGTAAACAGAAAATTAACCATGAACATAAACATAACAACAAGGTATTTACAAACAGTATATCTGCCGTAGGTTCGGCCGGGCACTGCGTGTACGTGCCTTGGGGGTGGAAGCTAAGCTTCTTAACTTGGCCTGTCTCCTCTCCTGCGGCTATGTCTGGTTTAATTTTGTGTATGTTGCCCTTTATTAGGGTCCTGTCTAGCATGTCGGTGCTCAGATACGTTTAGGTTGGCTTGTCGGGTGTTTAGGGTGTGTTCTATAGTCACATTACCGGGGAAGGGGTAAGTAGTCTCTGCTTATCTGCCTTGGCTGCAGTACTCCATATGCGCATTCCTGTCGTGCTCTTTGTCAAAATGTCGGTCCGGATTGCCAAAATGTTGTAGCTGTCTATAGGTACTTTTTTTTTTTTTTTATTACCTTTCTTATTCAGCTAAGTCTATTCTGGGCTAAAGTATTCGAACCTCTAATCAAGCAGCGCATGCATTATAAGACACTCGCAGCAGTATGTACATTACCCATCCCTTTTGCGGCCCGGTTTAAGTCTATGTGGAATTCCGCACCCTATTGGTAGCTGGGGTGTCATCGGACAGTTTATTGTCTTTTGTTCTTTCTCCAATCTGGAGATAGTCTGTTGGTATTCCTCTCTCCGGCTGGCTGTGCGGGTATCTCAAGTCCCCACGCTGCAAGGATTTTTCGCCCTTCTTCCGGTGTCTGCATTACTGTGATTTTTCCTTTCTTGTTCACTAATAATTTTGTGGGGTATCCCCAGCGGTATGGGAGGTGTTGGTCTCTCAGAGACTGTGTGATGTCTCTGAAGTCTCTGCGTCGTTTCAGTGTATAAGCTGATATGTCAGCATAAATCGTTATGTGTTTATATTTCTCAGGCGCGTTTACCTTCGTCCTGTTTGCATTTAGGACCGCTTCCTTGGCATGGAAGTAATGCATCCGCAACAACACGTCTCTCGGCGTTTCTTGGGGTAAAAAATTCGGCTTTGCTGTGCGGTGTATTCTGTCCACGAGTAGCATTTCGAGCGGCCAGTCCGGCAGGAGGCTCCTCATGAGGCCAGTGACATGGGCTGTGAGGTCGGCTGTGCTCACCGACTCCTCTATACCCCTTATGTGCAGGTTGTTTCTGCGGGACCGATCCTCCATGTCTGCAATTTTCACGTCCTGTGTGTCAAGTCTGGCGAGAAGGGTGTCTACCTTGTCTGTCAAGGCATTGTGTGCCGTTTCATATTCCGCCATCTTGTCCTCCACTTGTGAGGTCCGGGTCCCCAGCTCATGTAAGTCTTGTTTGAGGCCTTTCATAGCTGAATCCAGCTTTAGCAAGATTTTTGTGGACATTTCGTCCAGTAAGGCTTTCAGTGTGGTGTGCGTTAATGCTGGTTCGCTTTCCGTCGTTTGTTCCATGCGGTTTGTGTCATCCTCGGCGCCATCTTGGGCCTGCTCCTGCGGTTGTTGATTTTTGGCTTGTCCGGTTCTGGAGGTGAAAAAGCTGCTTTTTTCTGTCTTCTCCATGCCCCTCTTTCCTTTATTGTGTGACATGCTGTTGCTGCCGTTTGTTTTCTGGGCTTAAATGCTCATTAATTGCCGTTCAGGAGCGGAGCTGTTAAGCCATGCGACCGCTCCGGTATCCAGTCAGGCCACGCCCCCTCCTTTTTAATATATTTTTTAAAAGGTTGTTCAGTTAGGCATTGGTAGGACTCACAGGTCCCCAAACAATTGGCATCATAGTGGAAATGCAGGTCCCTTGCATTGCAAACACATGAATGTTGCATCACAGTGTAACAAGATACATCATCACAAATATCGCAAGTGGTCTCAATTCTGTGCTGCAGGTATAGTAAAAAGAAGTAGGGTATCTAGCTGTCCAATAGTACAAAATAAACAATTTAAAAAACTAAAACCCATGAGTCTCGAGCTCCCCACACAGCCCCGGGCACTTAACCCGAGCCCTCTCAGATTTCTGAATTGATATATAATTTTAGCATTTCAGCTTTTTAAATTTAAATTGCTCCAGAAGTGTTTAAAAAAAAAAAAAACTCAAAAAAATTTAAAGGGACCGTTTTCCTGGCACTGCAGGTCCCCTCTCCCTCCCAACCCCCCATCCCAGGTTGCTGAAGGGGTTAAAACCTCTTCAGTGACTTACCAGAGTCCAGAGCCGATGTCCCTCGGCGCTGGTCCAGGGTCCGCCCACGCTCCTCCCCCGGCGACATCATCTGGCGGGGGTGAACCGATTGCGCATGCGCGGCCGCCGCCAGGATGAGACCTAATGCGCATGTACGCGCATTAGACCTCCCCATAGGAAAGCATTGATTTCAATGCTTCCCTATGGGGATTTTAGCGAGGCTGGAGGTCCTCACATAGCGTAAGGACGTCCAGCGACGCTATAGCACAGAAAATCTGTGCTAGAAACCCGGAAGTGCCCTCTAGTGGCTGTCTAGTAGACAGTCACTAGAGGAGGAGTTAACCCTGCAAGGTAAATATTGCAGTTTATGAAAACTGCAATATTTACAATTGCAAGGTTAAGAGTAGTGGGAGTTGGCACCCAGACCACTCCAATGGGCAGAAGTGGTCTGGGTGCCTGGAGTGTCCCTTTAAGAAAGTCCTATAAATAATAAGGCAAATCATGGATTCATTTTATTTGGACAAATGTTTTAGGCTTTTTAAAAACTATTCAAAAACGTGATAAACGTATTCACCCATGGCGAAACTCGCAAACAAGCTTTTACTTTACTAAAGGATTTGACAATTTCCATAAACCTATCCACATAGATCCCATGTTAATTGACTATACTAGGAATTATGGAGAACTTTATTGCAGCCATTCCAACTTTTAAAATAGCCAAACTGTGGTATGTGCTCTAGACAGCAATTAGCGGCTGGCCCATATAGCTGTGACGTGATAAAAAGAGGGCATTTAACAGGTTACTTCAAACATCATAACCATTACCGCCTGTTACCGTGGATCTGTTCTTTGTGAGAGTCCGCTCTTCTTCTGAGCCATAATTCCTTTTTTGCTGGGTATGCCTGTAGCTGCTGTGATTTTTGCCTGGGGTATAACTGAATGGAGTGATAGATGTCAATGTGATCACATGCCAACGCGCTGGCAATGAGGCTAATGTGCCTGGATTAATAAGAGACCAAAGGCTCAGTGTTGGAAAAAGCTAATGTGCTTCCCAAGCAGGACCAGATGAGATAGTAGGGACAGATGGGAGTCACTGCTGTAACCCTCACATACCTGGAATCCTGGTGAACATGACAGTGCTAAAGAGGTGGTATGTGTTTATCCAATACCTCCTTGTGCAATTAAATATATTATTCATCTTAACAATGACATACATTTGTTGCTTTTGGGAAAAAAAAAAACCCAGAGGAATTAGGGGTTGAAATGGTTACTATCCCTCTTAAATAGGGACACTTGATGTATATTATTATACAATAAGAAAACTGGGGAAAATGCTTATAATAAGGAAGCAATTAATTCAATGTTCCCTATGAGAAGCATTTGACTGGACAAGCGTAGTGCTTTCCAGGGCCGGACTGGGAAAAAATTCGGCCCGGGCATTTTTTAATCGCAGCGGGCCACTGAAATAGGGGCGGGGTCAGATAGGGTGTGTTTTGTCATCCCCTATGACAAGCACACCCCATCTCAAAGTGAGCATGTTGGTTCAATGCTCTTCCATGTGCAGAGCTCTGTTGAAGAGCTCTAGCATGAGAAAAAGGCCCTGTATTTGTTCTGCACAGCGTAAGCAAATTTAATAACATGCCTGCCTTTTGTTTGCTTGAAACTTGTCTCTGGTGTCTCCATAAATTGGATACCAGGAGACAAAAATCCGGGAAAGAGTATTGTGCATGTGTTTGGAGCCTGCTTATGGGATTGCGTGTGTGTAGAGTGAGCTGATTGTGGTGCAGTTTTAGGTTGGTTTCAGTCATGTTGTGCTTGTAGTGTAATGTAATGTATGTGTGTCTAGGTGCTGTAGAGAGTGTGTGCATAGGGGATGTAATGAGTGTGTGCATACGGGCTATAGTGTGTGTGTGTATATGTGATGTAGTATGTGTTTGCTTACAAGGAATGTAGTGTGTGCATAGGGGATCCAGAATGTGTATGTCAGAAATGTAGTGTGTGTGTGTAGGGGATCTAGTGTATGTTTCAAGGATCCAGACTGTGTATAGTAGATCTAGTGAGTGTGTGTGTAGAGGATTCAGAGTTTAGGGGTGCAGTATGTGTGTGAGGGGTTCTGTAGCATATATATGTGATGGGATTCCAGCATGGTTAAAATTTAGTAGGCCAAAATCTCCATGTGGCATATGTGTATGTTGTGTCAGTTGGTTAGCTACATGTAGCTAGGATACTGTCATCAGTGTACTGAGCATGTGCAGGAATGCAGGAACTGAAATTGCACTTATTTCCTTTGTCTTGGATGAGCCATGTGGTTTGACTAGATGTACAAGTCTATAGTCTGCTCATTGATTGGTTAAAGGTATATGTGGGTGTAGCTATTAATGGGAGGAGTTATAGTGTTATATAAGGAATGTACACTATGTGTTGGTCTCTCAGAATGTTGGAACAGGAGTTCATCTGAGACCCGATCGGTAATGTGAATAAAGGCCTGTTACTTCCTGAAGACCTGTGTCCAATATTTCTGTGTTTGGCTTCTGCATGCTTACACTGCAACATTTCTGGTGCAATTGGGCCGGGAACCTCATCGCACGGAAGCTGGCACAGAGATTTGAGACGGTAAACTTTTACCAAACCTTCTACGCTACAATCCTGGACTTCTACTGCGTGGACCTCCTTTCGTCTCGGCGCCACTGGCCTTTTGTCCAGGAGATCATCGGCTTCTGCGCAGTGAGTCCCGGATTGTTCCGTCTATGAGTGAACCCAGGTCCAGAAATTAGCAGGTGAGATTGATACCGTTAGAGCGGTAGACCCACAAGGGGTTTTATATTTGGAACCGGTTATTGGAATCTGCCCTGTCCTTATGGATGGAAGAAGTGAAAGCGCAACACTTATCTGGAAATTAGACGCTCTGTAGTCAGCCCGTCTAATATAGGTGGTTTGGGTCAGACTGAGTTCTGGTGTAAATAGCTCATGTCGGACACCGGTGTCCTGTCTTGACTAGCGTATCTAGGGTGTAAATTTTGTTCGCTAGGTCGGGGGGACCGGGAGACTAGCATACTCTGTTGTATATTATAGTTTGCTAGATTTCACCCTATCTTAACTAAGTGTGCTCTGTTGTAAATCCAGCCACTAGCTTATTGATAGTTTAATAGACTAGCTGGGTACTGTGTAAATTCTGCCCTCTAGTTCGCTATACGTGGTGTCTGGGCAGCGAAGAACTTATCGAATCTCTGGTGTATAAATAGATCGAAAGCTCTCGAGGTGCTGGCCAGTTAGAATAGTTGGGATTATTGTAAATGTTGTTAAATATATTGTAGTTGGTGAATTGGTTAACTTGTATGTCCTACTAGAAAGTTAGAGCTCTGCTGTCTAGTGGGAGTGTAAATTGTGTGTATAACTGTAAAATAGCGCACGGTACCATAACTACTGACATGTACCATAACCACTGACATTGTGTAAAAATTACTAACAATTGCTGTTTTATGTTATATGTATAATACCATAACTGTTACTAACTGATCTGTGACTTTAAAACTGTATTATAACCACTTACTAACTGTACCATAACCACTGACTGTAAAGATGAGGTTACTAGAATGTGATATAGTTGGTTAGTCAAGAGTTGATTTATAGTACGGATAATTGTAGAGATGAAATTTGTTGAAATGTTATGTGATCGGTTAGTTTATATGGATTAATAGCGTGGATAGTTGTATGGTTTGAATAATAGTTACATTGATAAGTGTATAGTCTTTGGTGGTTTTTTGATTTAATTTCGTGTGTGCGACGTCGTGATATTGTTGAGCATGTGAGGATCCTGTGTGTGTGTTTGGGCCTAGTGACTGCGCAATGTGTTGCTGGTGATAAGGAGATTGGTGTGACTGTTGAAACTGTGTGTATATTTGTACAGCTTTTTGAATCAGATGCTCTGTTGAAATAATCTTCTGATTCACAAGGCTTTGTCTTGTATGTTTAAAAAAAAAAAAAAAAAAAAAGTAGGGAGTAGCTTGTCCTGGTGGCCGCATGGCCTCCATGTAGCAGTCTTCACTTAAGTTTAGTGCAGGGTGTACATTTGTTGAAAACTGCCTTGGTGAATTAAACTGTGTCATATGGGAAACAATGTAGCCATATGGTGGTCAGAACTAAGGACTTAATTACAACTGCTTTGGACATCCCCTCCCCCCCTGGCATCTGATTACCAACCCCCCAAACATCCTCCAGAGCCAGATTAGCCACGCCCATTTCTGGCTGGTATAATCAGTATTTGCACTCTCCCTGCTCTACTGTCCCCGCCTACCCACATACCTATCTGTTCCTGTGTTTCAAACTCTTGTATTTCTGTACTACCCCTCCCCCTAATCAATGATCAATGGTATCAGATGGTATATTGGTTTTTTTAGTTACTGGATGGGCCCCTCCCAGCTTTGTCCAAAATGTCCCCTTTTTACTAAACTACAAACTGAAATGTTTAATTTACCTTAGAACTAAAGATTTAATCAAGCCTAGCTAGCAGGGTGGACATTGATTAAAATAAGTAATAATAAAATAGGACATAATTAATTAAAGTCTATTTGTTTCATTTGACTTTAGGGAGGCACTCTAAGCCACCTACTGGCCATCTTCGGGAGTTACATTGATATTACATTGTTTATAACAGATAGAAGTAGGATTGCTTACCCTATTTTAATATATTTATTGCTATAAGGTTTTATTTTATGTATAAATATATTAAAAGTTGAGTTTTCTTATTAGACCCATAAATATTATTTTGATACAATTACCCTCTGGTGACACCTACTGGTAGGTTTTTGGTTTAACACTTTAAAAAAAAAACAACATTTTTTCATCCACCAAATGCTGACTAATAAAATTATCTTACTACTCCTAGACTGGAACCTATTATAGGGCAGCCTTGCCGAAGTCCCATATTAGACACTGCTTGAGTCAAATAGGTTGTATACTCCCTTTAATCCAGAGGCCCCTGAAAACTTCCGAATGATAGACTCAGCATTTGTCAGCCAGGCCCAAGGTGATAGTAAAAGGAAATTACAGAAATTAGAGGGATTTGTAGGGATGTCCATATTACAGCTAATGGAGATTGCAAATACAGTATATATGAATAGGGAGACGGAGGAAGAACGTAAAATGAGGAAAAAGGCAGATATGCTAGCGGTAGCTATCTTAAGTGTAGTAAGACAGGGAAGTGAATAGAGGAGATGAGAATAGGCTGAGCAAGGGACTTTAAGTAGGAATTAATGTGCGTATTGTATAAAGGAGGGACATTGGAAGAGTGAGTGTCCACAGAGAGAGCAGTATGAAGGTGATAGACAAGGAGAGAGAAGGGTATGAGGAGGTTATAGTGGTAGTTATAGAGTAAGAGGAAGTTTTAGAGGGAATGGTGGGAATAGTAGAGGAAGTGTTCAAGGAGACAGATACTATCCACCCACGCAGAGACCTAGAGAAAGAGAGGATAGAGATTTTGTGGGTCTGGCTGACACTATCATGGAAGACTATTGATACCGACTGGGCTCCATCTCACTTGGTCGAGCGGAACCTATGGTCGATGTAGCAATAGGGGGAAAGAGAAGTTCTTTCATGATCGACACAGGTGCTGAACATTCTGTGGTGACTAAGATGGTGGCTCCGCCTTCGGGGAAGACTATAACTGTGATAGGAGCTACTGGGAGAAGTGCAGCTAGACCAGTTCTTAAGAGTCGCACTTGTATTCTGGGAGGCCATGTGGTGAAGCATTAGTTCCTATATATGCCAGAGTGTCCGATTCAACTTTTAGGACGAGATCTATTATCGAAGCTTTAAGCTCAGATAACCTTTTACCTAATGGATTAACATCTCTGAAGTTTAAGGGATTACCAGGCATAATGGTGATATCGGTGCCAAGGGAAGAAGAATGACGCTTCTATTCCATAGTGACAAGTGTTAACCCTAAGAGTGATGAATCCTTATTTGACATTCCAGGAGTATGGGAAGAAAATAATCCTCCAGGACTTGCTCGTAATATCCCACCAATACATATTGAGTTAAAGCTCGGGGTGTATCCTGTTAGCCTTTGTATGTTGTTCTTTTATCTACCCCAACAGCTGTAAAGGTGGCGGAAGTGACTCCTTGGATTCATCATTCTAAGGTTAAACCAGCAGCAGACTCTTGGCAAACTACTCCAGATCCTGAGAATCCTTGCAGGACCCGGTTGAAGCGTGCAACTCAGTCGGAGTGACGAGGGGATATCGAGACATTCTAATTAAAAGTCTACAAAGATCATCAAGTAGGTGTTTTGACGGCCATAATAAAGCCTGACCACCTGCCTACGTGTCATAGCCAGAGTGTCTTGAAGGGATCTCTGTGAAGGAAAGTGAGGATCAGAAGAACAACATCCTTGCAGCCCTCACAATCGGGAAGCTGAGAGGCCATCGCACGGTGAAGAAAAATGAGGATTTCAGGAATAATGTGTTTTATTGTGTCTTAGTATTTTTATGATTTTTCAGGAAGGTAGGAGTACAGACATACCGAATTGCGATAGTTGCATTAAGACTACTAAAACAGGTAACCAAATATCCCAAACTCTCATCTGGCACTCACAGTATGAATGTAAGGGATCTGTATCTAAATGTAGATATTTGGATATTGATTATAGTGTGTGCAAGCCAATATCAGGAGAGTCTAAATGTTTCGATCCCCAATTCCAACCCCGTACAATTTGGTTGGTAATTAGGAATAGTAATTCCCAGGGAACTTTGATAAATAGGACTGTGATAAATACCATACATTCTACGGGTGTTCTGCTATTTGATGCATGTAAGGCGATTTCTGGTAGTAGAAAACCTTGGAATGTATGTGGTAATCTTAAATGGGAACGAACTTATGGGTTTAATGATAAATACTTATGTCCCAGTAAAAGATCTACTGATCCTGATTGCCCAAATAGAGATTATAATTTTTGTCCCTATTGGTCTTGTGTAGGGTGGGCAACCTGGGGAAAAACAGTGGATCAAGATATGATTATCCAAAGGTTGCCTACCACGCCATACTGTAAATCTATGGAATGTAATCCGGTCCATATGACCATCTCTAATCCCCAGCATTTTATTGACAAATTTGGAAATATTTTTGGGTTCCAAATATATGGCACAGGAGTAGATCCAGGAACAATAATATATGTAGGTCTTGAAACTGAGACAGTGGCAACTCAAACTCATCAGGTTTCTCATTCCTTTTATGAGGAGATGAGTGTTGAGGATAAAATTCCCCATAATGTTAACAACCTATTTATTGATTTGGCTGAGGGTATTGCAGGTAGTCTTAATGTAACTAATTGCTATGTGTGTGGAGGTACTAATATGGGAGACCAGTGGCCATGGGAGGCAAAGGAAATATGGTACCCTGGCTCTGAGACATATGAACAACAGATACCTTTCCAGTCTGATCATCAAGTAAGTACTAGAAGTAAATTGGAATGGTGGTTAAAAACCTCCATTATAGGTCATGTTTGTATAGCCAGGAAAGGGACAATGTATAACACGTCTGTAGGTGAGCTAACTTGCTTGGGACAAAAAGCCTATAATGTTAATACTAAAAATACTACTTGGTGGTCAGCTTCAAATGTCTCGGAACCTACTAATCCGTTTGCCAATTACACTCATTTAAGGGAGGTATGGTTTGACTTATCGGCTACATCTAGTTGGAAAGCCCCAGCAAATTTATACTGGATTTGTGGTAAGAAAACTTATTCGGAGTTACCACAAGATTGGGAAGGGGCATGTGTATTAGGTATGCCAAAGCCATCCTTCTTCTTGTTGCCAATCGAAACAGGAGAGACCTTGGGAGTTAAGGTTTACGATGTAAATCATAAAAGGGAGAGAGCATCCTTGAATATAGGTAGCTGGGAAGATAATGAGTGGCCCCCTCAACGTATTATTAATTATTATGGACCTACTACTTGGGCAGAAGATGGCACTTATGGATATAGAACTCCGATTATCTATGCTCAACCGCATTATTAGACTACAGGCGGTAGTTGAGATTATTACTAATGAGACAGCTCAAGTGCTTAATCTTCTAGCTAAGCAAAATACCAAGATGTGATCAGCCATATACCAGAATAGGCTAGCCCTTGATTACTTACTAGCAGTAGAAGGAGGTGTATGCGGAAAGTTTAATCTAAGTAACTGTTGTCTGCACATAGATGATGAAGGGCAGGCAGTGGCTGAACTTACAAGCCACATGGTTAAATTTGAGCATGTACCTACTCAGGTCTGGAATGGGTATAACCTAAGTAGTTGGTTTGGAAGTTGGTATGAGCAGCTTGGAGGAATTAAGACATTAGTAGGAGGAGTAGAATTTATTATATTTTTTTTGTGCCTCCTCCTGCCCTGTCTAATTCCACTAGTGGTAAGGTCCCTACGTAGCATTATAGAGAGTACTATAGAGAGAAAGACAGCTGCTCATGTAATGGCTGTCTGGAAGATATGATCCCCTAGCCCGAAGAGAATATATTCAGGATGAAGAATGTTGAAGGAGTTTTTAAGATGCTTACAAGGTCTACTCTGGTTCAATGGCTACTTGAGAGATGTAGGTAAAACTGTGATTGGTGATGCATCTGGAATAATGTTATATCAGAGGCATCAAAGGGGGGAATGTGATGGGATTCCAGCATGGTTAAAATTTAGTAGGCCAAAATCTCCATGTGGCATATGTGTATGTTGTGTCAGTTGGTTAGCTACATGTAGCTAGGATACTGTCATCAGTGTACTGAGCATGTGCAGGAATGCAGGAACTGAAATTGCACTTATTTCCTTTGTCTTGGATGAGCCATGTGGTTTGACTAGATGTACAAGTCTATAGTCTGCTCATTGATTGGTTAAAGGTATATGTGGGTGTAGCTATTAATGGGAGGAGTTATAGTGTTATATAAGGAATGTACACTATGTGTTGGTCTCTCAGAATGTTGGAACAGGAGTTCATCTGAGACCCGATCGGTAATGTGAATAAAGGCCTGTTACTTCCTGAAGACCTGTGTCCAATATTTCTGTGTTCGGCTTCTGCATGCTTACACTGCAACATATACATATATGTTTGGAAGTATTGTGTGTGTGTGTGAGTGGTGCAGTGTGTTTGGGAGCTGCTGTGTGTGGTATTGGACAAGAAGACAAAGAGGAGGCTCCTGCCTGACTACATCTCAACATTGGAAAAACGCCAAGTAAACTATTTTTTTTTTTTTTAAATTGGTTTAATGAGATTATAGTAACATTATATTAGGAATATGTTTGCACTCCTAATGATATAGTGTTGTTTTAAAGCACTCTGAAACCATGTTTTTTTTTAATTCTATGTTTAGTCTCTTTGTATTTGATAAAACTCAATAGATTTTAAATCGGCCCTGGAGGCAACTTTGGGGTGAAACCTATCCCTTGAGGTAAGAGTGCACTGAAAGCCTCCTGGCACCACCCAATAAGAACTTAATTTAGATGACATTGTTATGGTGCCTTAATGTGACTAAACTGTCCCTTTAATAATCTGTGCTTTAGAAAAAAAAAAAGGCCCCCAAAAGTCACAATACTGTCTCCTTTGATAAATTTACTTCAGAAAACACTGGATTGATGTTCATGGCTAAATCTTTATTATTTAAAAGAAAAGGGAGCACCACGTTAAAAAAAACATAAAATCAAACAAGTTTGTGATGATTAAAAACACGTGTATGGTAGAAGTGTGTAATTTCCAGACAATGATTCCCTTTAAATCCATTAACATTGACTAGTCCCTTCACCAAGCTCTCTATAACTGTCTGCTAATGATCGAACTACTAGTTCCTATCGGTCTCCGACCAGGAAGAACATCGGCGGGTCCCTAGCTGGGAGCCTCTATGATGCTATCTCCATGGCAACACACGCCTCGAGACGGTCAGCGGCGCGTTCCGATGACGTAAATAGCGTCGCAGAGTTTGGATCCTAGCGACCGTCCGTGTTTACTGTCCGGTGTTCTGGCAGAGTAAGCGATACGATCATTGTGTGACCCCCTACTAACATTATATCACCCGCTCACATAGATTATTCTGTCTGTGCTGCTCCTCCCACTCCCCTCCCCCATGTAATGGCTGCACTGTGCTCCTTGCAATCACCTTCATCATTTTCTAGTTACTTTCTCTTGGGTCACAGCTCCCTGGTACCAGAACTAGGGGTGTGTGTGACTATCTGTGTATAACACCCCCTACTCCTTTATAAAATAAAGTTATAATGCATGCTTCTCCCTGGAGTCCTCTATCATAAATGTTCTTACAGTTTAAACAAACATTGCACTATGTGTGTACTCATTTCTTACCTATTTCTGTATATAATTTAGTGCTTCCAATGTCATTCGCCACTTGCTTCAGGGTGTACCATAAGCTGACATTTTACTCTATTTTGGTGTTGTTTGCCACTTTATTTGTTACTTTCTGTTTTTCTTGTTGTTTTTTTTTTTTTGTCCTAAGAGCTGGCACTTTACTTTCCCCCAGTGTACTGAGCGCGCAAGGAGAAAATGTCTGTCAAAGTCAAAAGGGCAAGAGGTCCATTACAAAATACCCTGAGGGTGACTGATGATCTAAAGAGACAGGTACAATCTAATACTCACGAAGAAAAAAATACTAGCCACAGTGTGCTACATTGCTAAATAACGTTGCAACTGGCCAAATAATAATACTACAGATTACGTTGAATAATTGCATACCATTCATCATGTTGTCCGATTTAATTGCTTCCTGTGTTGATAATTGGAAGAAACAAATAAGACTAAACCTCCTCACACTTGTCCTAGCATATCCAGTTACTACAATGATTTTTTTTTTTTCTCATACTTCGTTTTGTAGACTTTTTTAAGCTGCAGTAATTTAGAGCTTTGATGAGCTGCACTCACATTGAGCACTGCACACATCTAATCTATCATCCTGGGGCCACTAACTGTGGTCCTGGTTGACTGATGGATCACTAATTTATCAAATAAAACCTGGGACTCCCTGGTACCACCAGAGATCTAGCTCGTCATAGACAGTCATGTGGACCTTATGGCGTTAAGCACACACAAGGCCTCTGTGAACTCTATCCAGCAATTGATAGAGTAGGAGAGAAGTCATTCTAAATCAAACACACTGTGCAATGAAGGAAGTTTAAAATTCTGATCTCTCTTTACATAAATTGTGTGGGAGGCTGTGAAAGTTACAGGCAGGGGAGGTTTGGCTGGGGCTGCGAAAAAATCCATCACTGCTCAATCTCCTCCAGGGCCTAGGCTGCTTTATAAACTGATTATTCACTGATAGAGCAGATGTTGCGTATGTCACAATCTGGGATGGATACTACTACTTATGCGAAGGATATGACCTATCATCTCGGCAACTTCATTAACCTAAATTTGTTTTGGTGATTCGCGTGTCCCTTTAATTCATATTGTTTGTGACTGTGGATGTTTAGGAGAATTACATTTCTGTATACACAACATTGTCATACTTTTTCATACCATCTTAAGATAAGTAACATAAAAGGAAATTAATTAGCAGCATTATTATTTTCACTTTGTAGTCTGAATCTTACTATCACCAGGTCTATTCACATACAGTTTTAAAAGAACACTCCACACACATAAAGCACTTTAGAGTGATGTGCTGGCGCATACATGCATTCCCTCTTCTAAATGAGCAGCACTACAGCTTATTGTGAAGAATAGGAAATCCACAATCCAATCTGTGCGCATGCTCGCAGCTCCAGCACAGAGGCTTTTCAATGTAAAGCCTCTGATTGGAGAATTCCCCAGCACCGACCTACAGGGGACAGTAGGTCTGCTGCTTTTGCAAGCTGATTTTTACATACCAAAGAAATCATGTAGACAAAATACATGCATGTTTTCTTTAGGGGTAAATATACAAATTGTTAAAGGAATACTTTACTTAATTTTTTTAAGAAAAAATCCAGGGCAAGTACATACCTGAATATCCCTGGTTAGAATTTATTCAAATGCGTTACCTCTTGTGATCCATTGGCACTGGATTGAAGCTATAGAACTTGATCAAATACAGTACAGGGGTGTTATGAAGAGAGATTTATTTATTTATTAATCATTTCCTTGTGCTACTTTTTGTATTATATTTTGGAGCAATGTAATTATATTTTAGAGTACTTTTGTTTTTTTATATTTGGGAGCAATTTATCAGAAAACATTAAACAAGTATAATACTAGTCTGAATCTTTATCACAATTTTTTTTTGCACCTGGGAAAGGAGAAGTCTGTCTCCCTAGTATTGTGTTCTTTTCAGGTGTTGTGCAGCTCAAACTTGAAGATAAGGATTCTCAATTGACAGTCCAGCTCTAAAGCTTTAGCAGAGGGTGTTTTTAGGACATATCTCTCGAATATTGTCGAGGCAAGAGAGAACAGTTAAAGTTGCCACCAAGCTACAGCATTAAGTCCATACGAGGCAGTAGAAACTCCTATATAATAATAATAAAGGTAGCAAACATAAAGAAATGGGGGAAAAAAAGGAACTGGAAAGCAATATGCCAACGCAGACATTAATGGCTTTATCTTTTTTTTAAATTATTATTTATTGTTATTTCTTTTCTCTCTTTTTCTTTTCTTTACCATTCTCTTTGTTTGTTTTTTTGTTGTTGTTTCTCCTCCCCCCCCCGCCTTTTTGTTATTTTGACTTCATCACTATCTTTTTTTTTTTTTTTTCTGTTTTTGCTTTGTGTTTTTATGTTCTCAAGGTACCGGGAGGATGAGATAAAACATTGAAAAAAATAAAAAAAAATAAACCACACATGAAAAGCAAAAAGAAGAATGGAGGCTGTGGGGAGCCCACTGCAGGCATGTGAGAGTTTTATGGGCCCAGCCTAATGTCAGATAGGAAATATGCAGGCCTAGGTAAATAGCATTACTTAATCAAGTCATCTGTATAGGAGCAGAGCAACTAGGACATTAGGCATGCTGTTTAGTTCCCGGTTCCAATCTTCTTCCATTCAGAGTACATTTTGGAGAGTGATAAATGGTTTGATTGGTCTTCGGCAATGGGGTTCCATTTTTATATCCGCTGTAAACCCTTGTCTAGAGAAGACATCACTTTCAGTTAATTGTTGCGCCAGATGAGTGTTTGGTAGAGTATCTCCTTCTATAGGCAATTAGTTGTTGTTTTCCCCAGCAGTTTGGTGATGGAACTATTGCCTGGTAGTATAGTGAAAGCCTAAAAAATTGTCCAAAAGAACCAGCCCATACCAAATTTTAGTATCACGATGGCCATTAAAGTGTAAGCCCCGTCAAGGCAAACCATGTTTGTGCTCAAAGGTAAAATATCTAATGAGACAGAAAGGGGTATTTTTTAAACACTTACACACTTAGAACCCTTAATAGGATGCACATGGGGGGGCGACAGCACTGTAACATGGCTGTGTAATACTAAAGCAAATACAAACATGTAAAATTAGGCCTCACTCTCAAACTTTTTTTGTTTGTTTTGTAGTCTATATAGTGTGACCGATGAGTACTATAGTCTTTGCTCCTGCCTGGGAGTAGTGGGTGTTTGAGTGCAGGGCTCAATTTTGCACGTTCGTAAAAAAAATATATATATAGTTTTGATCATTTTGATTCAGTTTTAGTTACTATTACATTACAGCTATTTTCTTTATGCTGAGAACTCTTTGTACAAATGTAGACACGTAAGCTGAAAGCATGACCTTAAACTATCGGAAGCTAGATTTAGATGTCTGTAGACAACATCAGCTATTGCTTGGGGTGTAACATGTTGCAGAGAGTTGCAGCCTAGTGACTCATCAGGAGGTTTGTGATACTGGGAGTGTAGGGTGGATGAAGAAGGAATAATATTAACACTATACAACTACCTAGAAGTTACACATCAGGTTCTGGTTTAATGTCATTTTATATGTATCTTCTCATTCTGTTAACACTGGTGATGCCTTAATTAAATTAGTCATTACGAACTATTGTCCCTGTGTTTTCTGGGTGTGTTATAATGGATGGGCTGCCTAAAAGGTGCAAAATTAGAAACCATATGGATTAACTCATTCAAAGGTAAACAGGGATAACAAGGCAAACAAAAAGTCATTGATTTGAATCATAGATAGTACCAGGGCCGGACTGGGAACTAAAATCAGCCCTGGAAAAAAATTCTATACCAGCCCAATAATGCGTCGCGCCAGCATAGTGTGCTGATAAAGAGGGTGAAAAAATAACTTGAAATTGAAAACTCTTGCTCCAACGAAGGAACGCATATAGGGCTTCAAAATAAACAAAAGAGCGCCTTTATTTTAAGTAGACGTACATTTGCATGTAATGTTTCAGTACAACTACTTTGGCCTATTAAGGACATTTTATTAATGGTACTGAAATGCTGAATGTCTGCAGCTGCACAACTAAAGAAATGAAGTGATCTGGTTAATTTTGAAGTTCTGTGGGTGCGCTCTTCACTTTGAATATGTTATTGTGCATGAGTATGCAACTAGCAACAAGACAGGGCCAATACGTGCTCATTACATATATATATATATATATATATATATATATATATATATATATAATGACATATTTAATGACATTTATGTGTGTTATGCATAAATAAATGTATATTACTATATGTGTAAATATTATAGGCATAATTATATGTTATTAATACACACATCAATATACATGTGTGTGTGTGTGTGTATATATATATATATGTGTGTGTGTGTATTACTGTCAGGATCACATCAATTTACGGCTATTACCTTTACCTCGTTTAGTGTATCTTGTCTCCAATTGTCTCCTTTTTTTCTCTTACAGCGAACCTTGTGCATCTTTTACTTTATCCCAGTCCCCGTGTGTTTCTTTTTACCCTTCTCCAGCCTCTGTATTTCTCTTTCCCCCAGCCCCTTTTGTGTTGTTCTTAGCCCCAGCCACTTTGTCTCTTTCTCCCCTTCCAAATCTCATCTGTGTGTCTCTTTCTAACTCCAGACTCTGTGTGCCTCTGTCTCTTCTCCCAGTCACTCTTTGTCTCTTTTTCCCAAGCCCAGCGTTGCCTCCCACAAATCTTGTGTCACTTTGTTCCCCTTCCCTACTGTATGTCTCTTTGTCCCCCCAACAAACCTTCTGTGTGTCTCTCTTCCCCATCTCTTCTCTGTGTCCCCCCTTCTCCTGTGTCTCTCTATTACCCCTCTCTTTGTCTTTCCAACCCCCTATTACCCCTCTGTCTCTTTGTCCCCCCTTCCCTGGTGTCTCTCTATTACCCCTTTCTTTGTCCCCCCATCCCCTGTCTCTCTATTACCCCATCTGTCTGTGTCCCCCCTTGCCCTATGTCTCTCTATTACAGCTCTGTCTCTTTGTCCCCCCCCAACCTGGTGTCTTTCTATTATCCCTCAGTCTCTGTGCCCCCCTTCCCCTGTGTTTCTATTACCCCTCTATTTGTCCCCCCCATTCCCCTCTATTTGTCTCCCCCTATTCCCCTCTTTTTTTCCCCATTCCCCTCTTTTTCCCCCATTCCCTATTTGTCTCCCCATTCCCTCTATTTGTCTCCCCATTCCCTTTAATTGTCACCCCATTCCCCTCTTTGTCTCTCCCCATTCCCTCTTTTTGTCTCTCCCTCTCCATTTCCCTCCTATTTGTCTCCCCATTTCCCTCTATTTGTCTCCCCCATTCCCCTCTATTTCTCCCATTCCCTATTTGTCTCCCCATTCCTCTATTTGTCTCCCCTTTTCCTCTATTTGTCTCCCCTTTCCCTCTATTAGTCTCCCCTTCCCCTCCATTTGTCTCCCCATTTCCCTCTATTTGTCCCTCCATTCCCCTCTATTTGTCTCCCCCCCTTCCCCTCTTTTTGTCTCCCCTCCCTTCTGTGTCCCTTCTGACCTTGTCACAGGAGGTCTGAGGGAGGGGGCAGAGCTAGCTACCATGCTCCCTTGTGGTTCCCATAATTCCCAGCATCTACACATCATAGAGTAATCCCTACTCTATGATGTGTAGATGCTGGGAATTATGGGAACAGCGAGGGAGCATGGTAGTTAGCTCCGTCCCCTCCCTCAGTCCTCCTGTGCTGACAGCCGCATGGCTGTCAGTATCAGTGAGTGTGCATAGCTGTCAGCACAGGAGATGGGGCCGCCGGCCGCAAGGTGAGTAATCACCTCAGAGTGTGCCGCCGGACCGGCCACCCGGCGCCACCGACATGCGGCCGGTGGCTGTGATATTATTAAAATAAAGGGAGCAGGGCTCCCTCTCTCTCTCCAGCCCCCCAGGTGCCGCGGCCCACCGGGAAATTTCCCGGTATCCCCGTGGGCCAGTCCGGCCCTGGATAGTTCCAGAAACATGTCATTACCCAAAGGGAACTGTTTATATCAGGGCTGTAAAACTCATTGTTCGATAGTGCAAAATTGTCCACAGAAATTGGTATGGAGGGACATGCATAAAAAATATATACACACATAAGCAGACACAAAGAACTTCACATAATGTCATAAATATAATTTATTACTTTCTTACAACAATATAAAAATATTTATTTGTGGGTAGTGTTGCCATTTTAATGTAGTGGTGTGTTTGTGTGTAGTGTTAAAATTGAATAACAAGGGTGTATCTGGGTGTAGTATTGGAGAATGAAGTTGTGTGTTAGTGTGTGCGTTTGAATGCAGGGATGTGTTTGTAGTAATGGTGAATTTAGGGCTGTGTTTATGTGCAGTGTTTGTTTCAATACAGGGATGTATTTGTTTGTGTTGTTGGTGTTTGAATGCAGTGGCGTATTTATATGCACTGTTTGGAGTGCGTGGGTGTATTTGTGTGCAGTGTTGACATTTGAATGCTGTAATGTATGCACTGCCACACACAAAGACATACTGGTACATATACACAAAAACAGATACAATGGTACACATGCACTCTTAAAAATGTACAGACACACACACACACACACACACAGATATGTACATACTCAGATACACACAGGTATACATACACTCTGACATACATACAGATACACACACTGACACAGATATGCACACACATTCGGATACACACTATTATATATAGTCACCCTCTTGTTTCCTTACCTTTTGTGTAGAGGAGGGTGGCATCCCTGCGGTCCAGTGGGAGGTGACTGACCAAGGCTGATAGGAGTCAGAGTTTCCAAACTTCCCTCCCCTTACCTGTGTGTTTATGACGCCTGCTCTGGTACGCTGTTAACGGGCCAAATATTGTGGGTGTTTGTTTGACAGCCTTAAAGGAATCTTTATTACCCATGATCAATAATGACTAACTGTTTAATATTTGAAATCAAGATTCTAATATCAGGCTTGTGGTTAAAGGACCACTATAGTGCCAGGAAAACATACTCGTTTTCCTGGCACTATAGTGCCCTGAGGGTGCCCCCACCCTCAGGGACCCCCTCCCGCCCGGCTCTGGAAGGGGGAAAGGGGGTAAAACTTACCTTTTTCCAGCGCTGGGCGGAGAGCTCTCCTCCTCCTCTCCGCCTCCGTTACGCCCCGCCGGCTGAATGCGCACGCGCGGCAAGAGCTGCGCGCGCATTCAGCCGGTCACATAGGAAAGCATTCATAATGCTTTCCTATGGACGCTGGCGTGCTCTCACTGTGAAAATCACAGTGAGAAGCACGCAAGCGCTTCTAGTGGCTGTCAATGAGACAGCCACTAGAGGATTAGGGGGAAGGCTTAACCCATTCATAATTATAGCAGTTTCTCTGAAACTGCTATAATTATGAAAAAATGGGTTAACCCTAGAAGGACCTGGCACCCAGACCACTTCATTAAGCTGAAGTGGTCTGGGTGCCTAGAGTGGTCCTTTAATTCATTGGTAGTGGTATAAATAGTAAAATACATGTGTTCAAAAAGATTTGACATGCAGATTTTAGGTCAAAATACCTGATTTGGAAATTTGAAATTAACTTTGATTTCACGACAATGCTCACCCTGTAAGTGACAGCCAGCCTACATTTTATTATTATTATTATTTTTTTTTAAAAAGACATTTTATTAGGCCTCAGTATTTTAGGATAAGCTATGTAAATTATAACAACCTATTTGAAACACTTTTAAAATTATTTATCCACAGAAGTGCGATTTTTGTAGATAAATAATTTGCAAAGATTTTATATTTTTTAACAGAGTGTGATCATTTAGGAATCTTATCTCCAAATAGTAAAACGAGGTCTTAGTATGTAACTTTGTTAGTAAAACATATATATTTTATATTCAATAATACTATACCAAAATGCTACATAAAGAGCAATGTGAAATTAATTAAGGAAAACATTAATACAAAATTTTGTGTTTGCTTTTTAGTTTGATGATTTACTCCGTGAGACATTAGAGAAGGATGTTTTGGAGCCTGCAGTCAAGAAAGAATTTTACCAAAGGTTGGTACCAAACATGTTGGTTATGGTCAAACCAAACCTGCGTGTCTAACTAACTATTAATCCCTGGTAATTACAATGCCAAGGAAACATAGCTTACAAATTTAAAGGACCACTCTAGGCACCCAGACCACTTCAGCTTAATGAAGTGGTCTGGGTGCCAGGTCCTTCTAGGGTTAACCCATTTTTTCATAAACATAGCAGTTTCAGAGAACTATGTTTGTGAATGGGTTAAGCCTTCCCCTATTTCCTCTAGTGGCTGTCTCATTGACAGCCACTAGAGGCGCTTGCGTGCTTCTCACTGTGATTTTCACAGTGAGAGCACGCCAGCGTCCATAGGAAAGCATTGATAATGCTTTCCTATGTGACCGGCTGAATGCGCGCGCAGCTCTTGCCGCGCGTGCACATTCAGCCGACGGGGAGGAGAGAGGGAGGATCGGAGGAGGAGAGCACTCCGCCCAGCGCTGGAAAAAGGTAAGTTTTAACCCCTTTCCCCCTTCCAGAGCCGGACGGGAGGGGGTCCCTGAGGGTGGGGGCACCCTCAGGGCACTATAGTATAGTATGTTTTCCTGGAACTATAGTGATCCTTTAAAATACTTCACACAATAAAGAATGGTGAAAATTCCAAATCTCCATTTCAGCAAAGTGAAATAACAGTGACTGTAAACATATGGTATTGATGCCTGAACCGGGACAAAGAGGGCTCTGATGTGATGCTCAATGTCTGTCACAAAGCAGCCATTGATATTTAAAACTCTCTATTAAATGTACATGCTGAGACAAATGAGACATATCACCAACTTGTAACCTTTTGCACGTAGAGCTGGTATCACTTATGAAACAATGTATCAGTGCAGAGCAGACAGGCAGAAAGAACTAAGCTTGAAACAAAGACCCCCATCAAGAGGGGAGTGAAGGGAAAGAACACAGCTTGGGCAACTTTATGAATATTGAAGGAATGGTACATAGAGGAGTAATGTAGAGCTATAAATTCCTATGATACTGTAGAAGGGGACCAACATTGGGGGTTGGAAGTATTCTAATTTGGTTGAAAAAGAGCATACATACGTACAATATAGTATTGATTGTAGTTAAATGGTAATGAGATAAAGGTGGGTCAAGTGGGCTCTATGGAGTTCCTAGAAAAGGACATTCGTAAGCACCAGAACCACTGTCCCTGCATTTTTCTGAGAAAAGGCAATGTTTACATTGCAGCCTAACACCACGTTTGGTGGCTGTCACTCGCACTAGCTCCCCAATGCTTCCTTATGGGAAAGTATTGGATCAGTAATGATGATCTCAGCCGGAGGAGTAGTGGCCATGATGAAAAAGGTAAGTAAAACATTTATTTTATAAATACTAGGGGTGCCCAATAATCCAAATAGGTTGTGTAACACTCTAATGTGAGCAATACTGTTTGTATTCTTAATATTAGAGTTTTCCTTTGAAGGGTTACTCCATGCATCATAACCCCAACAGCCTGCTGTAGTGATTATGTGATGAGTAGCCTGGCGCCGTTTCCTATTAATGGGAAAACCTTTTTTTAATGGGTTGCCCTATTACCCGGTTCTGCTGCGCACCGGGTATCCTCTGAAGCAGGGTTTAGGACATTGAGGGTAAGGGCATGGGTAATCCCATCAGGCATCAACGCTTCTATGCTTCTGTCTGTGACAGCATTAAGTTTCTACAGAGCTGTAAAAGCTCAATGTCATTTATTAGTTGAAGGCGTCAGCTGACCGCTCTCAGCTAAAAAGTGACGTTTTGTGCATAGGAATTTGCATAAAATTTACATTAGCCAGTGTAGAGCACTAGTTCCGGACAGGCTAATGACGTCCCAATGATGCCGGCCGAGGTGGAGTCTCATCTCTGGTAGCAAAGAGCTTACGTAACTCCTTATGTGAACAGTTTGATGATGACAGACTACACATACTGACTCCAGGCACCATGGCCACCAGAGTGGTCATGCTGCTTGGATTAACACTTTAATATAAAATTATTTATTTCTGGTGAGAAAATGGGAAACACAGGATATTGCTGAGAAAGTGACTGTAGAGCAAGCTCCAATAGAGAGAGAGATGGTTAAATAATGTGTATATTAATATATATATAGGAATACTGTTAACTCATTTATATTTGTAAGTATTTTGTTTGATGTTACATTTGCAGATTTATATACATAAACGTAGTGTATGTTTTTGTGGTTTTAATGCTTTCACAAAAATATAAAAAAACAGATCAGTTTGTCCATTTGTCCCTCCCTCAGAAAAAACTTGCTTATTATCCAGGGATCTAAATATGATTGTGTGAGGGCTTTTTCCTTTCTTTTTTATAGGCATTGCTAAAAATGTGAATTGTTGTTAATACATTGCTCAGTTCTATGTCTTTGGTAATAACTGTCTATTTTTACATAGATGTGTTCAATTAAAGAACTTGGTTGACAAAAACAAGGAAGCTCTTCAGAAGCTGAAAAAAGTAAGTCGAGCACACTGACTACACTGTTTATATGTGTTAAAACAAACATTCGGTTAATAAGAATATATAAAAGCAACAGAAATGGTACTGACATTTTGCCTAAACAGTTCCATTACTGGTCAGTCTCTGAGCTTTTTCTCTCCAATTTAGAATATGTGGCATGAATTCTAGGGCAGGTGAGGCTCTCTTACCACTTGACTGGGATGCAGAAGTGAAATTGTAAAATAAGCGACAACTTAACAACAATATTCTGCAAATTCTAAAATTATACTCCTAAACATCCCAGTTATGTTATCTTCCAGCTTTCATTTCTGCTCTCATGACATCAAAGAGCAGAAAAAGCAATGCCTTTATATGGCTTCCTCCTCTAGATCTGGAGACATATTTTAGATACGGCAATTCTGGTATAACCGGTTTTATGGCACTAAGTGAAATATATTTCCAACAGTGCCCTTTTACTGGTGATCCAGCAAAAGATAGGTCATATAGACTGTTACTGAGTTGCACTTGTACACATTGATTTTATGTATATATTCGTGGCTCCTGTAATGAGGCTCTATTACGCATCGCTGTGCTTATTCATATTAAATAATGTTAGCCCCAGTGTGAGCGAGCTTCAGGAATACAATAACACTTACACATGATCTTGTGGGATATACACATTAGGAGTATTCAGCTTAGAAGATGTCATAACAGGATTACAGTGAGGGAGTTAACTATTCATGCCATTTCCAAATGTCAAATCTATTATTTTAACTTGATTGAGAGATAATTTAAATAACTTTTCTGAAAAGAGACATGGATAGTTCTTTTTTTTTTTTTTTTTCACAAACTAGTAAATGCATGAATGTAAGAGAAAAATAAATATGAGATTTCCTTATAACGTTACTGCTTCGTCTGCCTCCATCTTTTAACAAACTCTTGTTTTTTTTCAGAGAAGCTGTAGTGAATAAACAGCTAAACACTGACTTATACTTGCCAGTGTTTCCACTTAGAAATGGATGGGAGTTGCTGACTCTTTTGCAGTACACCTCTATAGTCTACTAGTCAAAATAATTGATACTCTTGCAGCTTTACTGTATTATGAATGAGTAATTACTTTTATTTAGAAAAACTGAACATGGTCAGGTTGTATGGTCAGGTGGGCATGGGCAGTTTAATAGAACACTCTAGACCAGGGGTAGGCAACCTTCAGCACTCCAGATGTTGTGGACTACATCTCCCATAATGCTGGCAAAGCATCATGGGAGGTGTAGTCCAAAACATCTGCAGTGCAGAAGGTTGCCTGTGCCTTCTCTAAGCTTTCAGCCTATCATAGCTGCGCATAACTAGTATGAGTTAATTAGGCTAAGGCTTTTGTCAACTATCCATATGCCTTATAGTTAGAGCAGGGAATAGATCACATTTTTCCGAGTGATTCTTCTGAATAATATGCTTGGCAGGCGTGCATTGTAACCATTCAAGTCTTTCTCAACGGACCTCTAAAGATACCTTCTTTATGCTTTTTAATGTACTGTTTGCCAATAAACACCTTAAAAATGTAAACTCTGCAAATACTTTGCTCAAAATTTTTCTCATTCTTTCTTAGTCTGATGAACCGGCACCCGTGGGTAGCTATGAGCAGCAGAAAGAAGAGGAAGAGGGGCGTTTGTTAAAGCTATCTGATCAGCTCCAGAAGCTTACCCTAACATTGGCACAGGGAGACGGAGAGGTCAGGTAAGTTACATCTCATTAGTGATCTACTTATTGAACAGAACCAATTGATAGTGCAAAGCCATAAATAAAAGGATTCATGATGAAGCCAGTAAAGCTCACATTTTTTGTTTGCCTCTAGCAGCTTACAAGTGAAAATGTATCCCTAGCAAGTAGAACTCCTCTGAGTATGCTATACATTTTCCAGGCTTGCAGCATCTAGTACATTTTAAAGTCTAGCTCAGGGGTCCTCAAACTAAGGCCCGCCAGGGTCCTGAACCCGGCCCAAGCACTCAGGGCCACCCGATGGGCCCTATATCTTCAGGGACCCGGTCAGCGCTGCAGCTCCGTGCGGGAGGGAAGAGAGCCAGGCCATGGGAGCCATGCCGACTCCCATCAGCCACAGCCACCCTCCTGTAAAAAAGGTAAGCAAAATTAGTTATGTATGTATGTGTGTGTGTCTGTATGTATGTATGTCAGTATGTGTGTGTATGTATCTGCGTGTATGTATTTCAGTCTGTATGTATTTCAGTATGTATGTGTTTGTATCTATGTATGTATGTCAGTATGTGTATGTATGTGTGTGTGTATGTATTTCAGTATGTATGTCTGTGTGTATTTATGTATTTTAGTCTGTATGTATGTCTGTGTGTATGTATCTGTATGGATTTCAGTATGTATGTATGTCAGTATATATGTATGTATGTCTGTGTCTGTCTGTTTATGTATGTATGTCAGTATGTGTGTGTGTATTTATGTCCTTATGCGTGTGTTTGCAGTGTGCATAGGAATTCGTTCATTTTTTTTTTATAGTCCGGCCCACAGCAGTGTCTGAGGGACCGTGAACTGGCCCCATGTTTACAAAGTTTGAGGACCCCTGGTCTAGCTAGTAGCATAGGATGTAACGTTTTTAAACCCTTATAATGCTGAAAGCATTTTGGATAAATTATAAGAGCACACGTATAATACACTTTTTTTTAAAACTAAAGCAAGTCTCCGGGAGCATTTTTTAATCAGTAACAAATGGTTTCTGTTTGTTTCAGACAGGCTTATAAACAGGTGTTTTTGAATAATTAAACTGAAAGCAGAACCAGTCCCATATCTTGGGTGTGTGTTTGATTCTTTCATTTGGCATCTATAACTGACTTTTCCCAACTTTAAAAAATGATGAAGAGTATTTCAGTTGTTGCATTAGTTAACATGTTATTATATTTTTAGGGCTAAAATCGCAACTAAATGTACCTTTATTCCAGTGCCAGTAGAGTCTCATTGCTGCAGCACTAAACGGCCTTCTTTAAAGTTATTAATAATCAAACACTGCTTATCGAGAATCATTAAGACACATGGAGCATATGCGGTAATCACTGCAAATTGGTCTTCAACAACCAGTGCTTTAATAGACTGGAATGTCCCTTTAATAATCGTGAACAGACACATTCTAAAGTACAAAATTAACTCCTGTTAAGGTACCCCTAATTGCTTATTTTCTTACAAAGGCCACAATTTAACATTATTAAAAAATCACTGTGAAAAATTGACCGGTTTCGTCTCATTATTGCAATAAATTTTGGCTGAATGTTATGCCGATAAACATTCAATAAAAGCTGCTCAATCGAAATCTTACCATAAATGCGCTTCAGAAGTACGTTTTTTCTGACTTTTTAAATGACTTTTTAATGACTAAAGAATTATATAAAATATGACCCAGTAGAACAATATACACCAACCCAAAAAGGCCAAGTAAATAATATGTGTTTTCCTGCTCTATGCAGTTTCAGTCAGAGAGCTCTGAAGTGGATGACTGTTTGGTAATGGCGTTATATTGTCTTGTGCCAACCAAATAATGCAACATGGTTAAAGCAAACATTTTTCAGAAGCACTAAGGTTGAAGAATAGAAAGCCATATTTGTTGTAGTTAATTCAGTACAATTGCAAAAATACTGGGTTTGGAAAACAAAACAAAAACTAGGGAATTTATTCATAATTATTAAATGTGCATCCAAGGTGAAAACTTAAATCAAGCCAGTGTACACATGCCAAGGTCAAAACCAGAATATCAGTAATTTAAATTGCAAGGGAATAACAGAGAGAATAGTGTAAAAGTCTGAGTGAATACTTCCGTCGGAGACAAATGACAAGTGTGATTACTTTATGCATAGTGGAGGCCAAGTCAAGGAAGTAAACGGTGTTCTGAGACGCTTTAGGGAACAGAGTGGAGGCATTCGAGGCGAATGGACATGCTGCAGAGAGGAAAAAAAGGAACACCGCATATGCTGAATAGCACACTCTTGTAAGATAAAATCTTAAGAGATCAGTGTTTCCACCACATGTGTGATTAAAACATGTGTATAGGTGAACAAACGACACGTAGTATATACCGTTTAGTAGGCAACCCAAGGAATTACTGCAAAATATAATATAAACTGCCTCAAGTACATCAACATGGGTGGGATGGAAGATACTCCTGAAGTCTTGGAGCTGGTATTCAATCTTGGGAAATGTGCTGGGCTTTTCTGAAAGCTAAACAATTGAGCTATTTGTAAAATAAAAATACTGAAAGATTTGTTGAATAAAATACAGAATTGCACAATTCAGGCTAAAAATAGTCAGTCTATGACTATGCTTTTTAATTTTTGGCTGTGTTTTGCAGTTCCATTTTTAATTTGCTGCAATTCATTGTGAATAAACCCTTGTGAGTGTTCACCAACACAAAATTACCCAAAGTTTAGATATATGGATTAGAGTGCAAATGTACACCCAATCTTTAGAAAACTTCTCCAAGGCTGTGCAATAGGACCAATTCACTCATATCATAGGATTTTGTGATTGATTAAAGAAATACATATTCTAATATTGTCTGGTTTTATATATGTTCGTCTGTGCTGCTCAAACATAATATTGGAATAGAGCACAACCTATTTTTTTATGTTTAAACTCTTTTATTGTCATTAAACAATGAAGAGTTATAAGCAAATTGTGAAATTCAACAGTTGTGAAAGCGACATAAAAATGGTTATTAGTTGGCATATTGTTTGACATTTTACATATATTTTAAAATTAAACAAAATCCGATTAAATAAAATATAAAAATGAGAAATAATTCAACAAAACATACATATCCTCTTTTTAAGCTGGTAGCAGAGCTGCTGCATCTTTGGTCCATTATTACCATTTTAATTCACTGACTACCTGTTTGTGTAAAGATGAGGAGCCATCAGTTATTTATGAAAGCTGACTGACTGTAATATTGTTTTGATAGATATAGATATTCTGGAGCCGCAAACATCTGTCCTAGCAGTCCTCACCTTTTGTGGCTCCTCGTCACCACCCGTGCTCCTCAGGTCCCGGCCAACCTTTTTTCCTCTGCAACAATATGCTTTAGCAATAATGTCAGGTTTTCTTACACACACCTTTATTCACACACTCAACAGAAATATACCCCTACAGTCACACAATAGCACTCCACACAAATATACCCTTTAATTCATATACAACTCTGAATAGATAAACACACTTGTACTCCACATACAACCCTGTATTCAGACTGCAAACAAATACCCTTTACATTCACACACATCTAATTCCATTGTTGGAGCATGTCTTGTATCATAACCAAAATGCTGTTTATGTGTGCTGTGAGTATATTTACATAGCATATTTAGAGTTGCATGGAATAACTCTCCAACAGTAAACTATACTTTTTACCACTAGTGGTATTATTACACTTGCACTTCTTTACTACTGAGATATATTTAGAAATTTATTAATGCAGTATTTTTTTCTTCTTCAGGGATCAAACATCTAGAAATCACTCAAGAGCCAGTGATGTTGATGATGATGATGATGAAGAGGAAAGTGAAGAAGAACAGGAGGAAGAGGAGGAAGACGAAGAGAGTGAGGAGGAAGAAGAGGACGACACAGAATTTGATGCAACCATTAGAGAATTCATCACCCTGGGAGATTTCCAAGCCCAACAGAAAGATGATTTAACATTTCAAGTAAACGAGCCTATATTAGTGCCAATTATACTGAGTTAAATAGAGTAACCATCCTGGTGTGCTCTGCTTTCTTAAACTGCTTTTATTAACTCAAATGTTGTTTTAAAACCATTTACTGTCAGTTAGGAATGCCGTAGTCAACCTGCTGTAATTGCTATGGTGCCAGGAGTCTCCTAACAGCATTTAATGGCAAGCAGTCAAAATGTTTTCAATGGATTGACACTTCCATGGGTCCCGGCAGCACTTCTGTTCTGACCTCATTTTTTATATTAATATGCAGAAGTTCCTTTTTCCGCATTAGTAATGCCAATTTCACTTGTGTTTATACAGAATTTATTGGATGAGAGCATAAACACACTCTTAATCAATTCATTTTACAACATTGATATATCAATTGTAAAAAAGGGATCCCCCGCCTCAGATATATGACAAATAGTCACCAGATCAGAGGCTCTTGGAAGACCCAGGTAAGTGTCAAGCCGATAGAAATGTTTAATTACATACAATGGGATGACGTTAGGTACTCCTGCCACCATAACCACTACAGTTGGCTGTAGTGGCTATGGTAGCTCTAAAGGGACACTATAGTCACCAGAACAACTACAGCTTAATGTAGTTGTTTTGGTTAGTATAATCATTGCCTTCAGGCATTTTCATGTAAACACTGCCTTTTCAGAGACAATGCAGTGTTTACATTGCCCCTAGGGACACCTCCAAGTGGCCTCTCCTTAGATGGCCACTGGAGGTGCTTCCTGGCTCAGTGCTGTGTATTAGACAGCACTGCCGTTCAGCGAATCCACGCTCTGCATGGTGACGGTGAATTTTCCTCACAGAGATGCATTGATTTAATGCATCTCTATGAGGAGTTGCTGATTGGCCAAAACAGCATTTGGCCCCACCCCTTGCCGATTTTAGCCAATCCAATGCTTCCCCATGGGAAAGCATTGGATTGGCTAAAAATCAGCAATTCTGATGATGTCACCAAGAGGGCGGGGCCAGCAGACCCACATGATCCTGGAAATAAGGTGAGTTTAAATTCCTTATAAGGAGGTTAAAGGGGGCAAGCCACCTAAATGGTGGGTTTAGCACTATTGGGTCAGGAATACATGTTTGTGTACCTGACCCTATGGTGCTCCTTTAAATGTATATAATCAAAACGTATGTGATGATAGTTAAAAAAAAACAAGTTATAATTATTAATTCACCAAAAGAGTGTTTATGCTTCAAACACTCTTGAGCTCCTAGTGCTTGGATATAGTACAAGGAATAAGTATGATCAAAAATGCATAACCTTGTTAAATAGCTAACCTTCACCAAATAATGAATATGCCTACATATCACTTCAGCATTACATCAGTTGTAACAAGCAAAAACCAAAAAAAGTAAATTAAACATTAAAGGAAAATTCCAAGAGGAACGTTTCAAGAGAAATCTGCACTTATATAAAGGTACTAGTTGGTGACAGCCAGGAAGGTACTCATCCTCTCATGTTATTCAAATATGTACATTCTAAATGATTTTATTTCCAATTCACTTGTCTTTTTTTAAATTATGTAAATTTACCACAAGGGGGAGCAGATTGCTATATATCAGGGATAGGCAACCTTCGGCACTGCAGGTGTTTTGGACTACACCTCCCATGATGTTTTGCCAGCCTTATAGCTGTAATAGCATTGTGGGAGATGTAGTCCACAACATCTGCAGTGCCGAAGGTTGCCTACCCCTGCAATATACTATAGAAGTAGGACTTAGCCTGGTAAGGGCAAGAGAGAGCAAATTCCTTGATATTGTGTCAATGTTGACATGCAATTGGTCCTGATAGGGTTAAGCCACAAAGAAAGGCATTGTGTTTAATAAAGCAGTACATATTCTAAGAGGAAAATATATTTCCTGAAATTTTTAGTGCAAGGATTTGGCTTTGTGCTATAATTCCAATTGTGTGACCATTTCATATGTAAATTCATTATCCTTACTTTGAAGTATTATTTCAAAATGCTTTTTTTTCTCTAAAGAATATGAGCCTGTATAGATATGGATTCATGTTTGGAGTTACCTCTCTCCACTTGGGGAATTAACTAGGGAGTGGGAGGGTTGTTGTTAACAGGCTCAAAAGAATTAGGGATCGTCATTGAGTGTTCACACAAGATCACTGGGCATCCTCAGGTCTACTTGTAACTGAGATTGGAGGCTTGAGGACATCCTATACAAATTGTATTATTATTTCCCTCTAACCCACAGACTGGGAAAGAGGTGTAAAGGTCATTAACTGGGCCCTATCTGGTATATAGTTCCATCCTCCCCATAAACAAGGAGGTGAAGGAAAGTGTAGGGATGATTTACCAAACCCTTACCTAGTATGTTGTTTCCTCTGTCCCATTGTACACAGCAGCACTAGATACACAGCAGTTTAAATCATTTCTGTGTAATATTTCTGTAAGCCTGTAGCTGATCTTTGGTTCTTTCTCTGTTTTATATATTGATGCAGAAAGGTGAAGTTCTGCAGATTCTGGATAAGAAGCCCGATGGCTGGTGGCTGGCTCAGGACTCCCAGGGTAATAAAGGCCTTGTACCTAAAACTTACCTACAGGTGAGTTCCTGTGCTGATATCTTTGTTTGTAATTTTAAGGTTAGCTCTGAATTCACCAATTTAATACCATATTATAATTCGACAACATAAAAGTGAGCTTGCACAGCCTTATTATATGTACTCTTTCCTAATATTTACTTCCCCTTTTTTGTATGGTTGACAATGTTAAAGTTTTTTATACGTTGATGGAGCTATATGAATAAGTGCATGAATACATAAGTATAATCACATATTTAAACTTGCTGTATTTAAATAATGATTTAACTGTTCGTATACGCTTCTACAAATGATCACACACAAAAGTTGATTACTTTTTAAAGTATTGTCTTTCCAGGAGTAGAACCTCATTCACTGGTTTGTGGTTGAAGAAGATCCAATTCTATTTTTTCTTTTCTTGCATTATTTCTATCAGGCATACAACAAAGGTGAGCAAAGTCAAGAGCCTAGTGAGGAAGAAAGCGAAGAAGAGGAGGAGGAGGAAGCAGCAGATATAAAAGATGTCAGTCGGGAGAGGTAAATCTCATCTAGTAGTTGGCTTAATAGATCCCATTTTAACGCAACTACTCTGTAACGAAAACATAATCATATACAGTGAGCTTGGCATTTGGTGTACCTGGAACCAGAGGGGTAACTAGAAACCACGGGGCCCCGGTGCAAAAATTGCCCTGGGGCCTCCCACATACGTCTACCCCCCTCCCCATGCGTCCGCTCCTCCCCACCACACGCAGACACACACACACACATACAGACACACAGACAGACATACAGACACACACAGATATACTGATACAGACATTCTCTATCACACACACACACAAACTGTTAAAATATATTTAGTGACTTACCTGGGGCCCAGTGGCTGCCTCATGCTGATGGGAGTCAGAACTCCCACTCTGACTCCCTCCTGTCCTCCTGCGCGGCGCTCTGTTGGCTGGGAGGAAGTGACCTCATCACGGGGCCCGGTTGCACTCTTAAAGCGCTGCAGCGCTGACCGGGTCCCAGGAAATTCATTGCCATTGGGTGGCCCCAAGAGCATGGCCACCCAATGGGCTCCTTCAATGTGGCCCTGACATTTTTTGCCGCACGCTTGGGTCCGCACTAAAATGTTGGCGGGCACCCCGGTCCCAGGGGTCGACAGGGAGGCAGCTGCGACCACGGTAGTTCCGTCAGTGCCTGGAACACACCTGATAGAATGTATTCTACGTTTGTTTGCTGTGACCAATGGATGGGTGCTTCTTGCTGCAGTGTGATCTGGTGAACAATACAAGAGAACTTACCATATTCTTCTGCAAAGCTGCGTACTCTAAGATGCCAGTGGGGATGTTTCATCTCATCTGAACTAGCAATATGACAGACTGTAAGTGCAATGGGCCAATTTGTCAATTAGCCAATTTGTGACTAGAACACTTAAAACCTGATTAAGGAATAAAGGGACACTTCAGGCACCCAGACCACTTCTGCCCATTGGAGTGGTCTGGGTGCCAACTCCCACTACTCTTAACCCTGCAAGTGTAATTATTGCAGTTTTCTATAAACTGCAATAATTACATTGCAGGGTTAACTCCACCTCTAGTGGCTGTCCAGACAGCCACTAGAGGGCACTTCCTGCGTCATAGCACAGAAAACCTGTACTAGAGCGTCGCTGGATGTCCTCACGCTGTGTGAGGAGCTTCAGCGTCGCTCAATTCCCCATAGGAAAGCATTGAAAAGCATTAGGTCTCCCTTGCCGGTGGACGGGATCAGTCTCACCCACCGGCCGACGTAATACAGAGGAGGCGCAGGGGCGGAGGGAGAAGCAGCGACGTGGGACATGTTGCTGCCTCTGGTGAGTCACTGAAGGGGTTTTCACCCCTTCAGCAACCGGGGATTGGGGGGTGGGAGGGAGAGGGGACCTGCAGTGCCAGGAAAACGGATTGTTTTCCTGGCCCTGGAGTTACCCTTTACATGCTTGCACGTTCGCTGTTGTTAGATTTTTCCTCATTACTTTGATTTATTCCTTCTATGGCTTTGATTTAAAGGGACACTATAGGCACCATAACAACTGGTTGAAGTGGTAATGGTGCATGGAGTCTGTGGGTGCGGTTTACGCATCACTGCTAAATGATTCACATTGGATGTAATGGCAATATCATAATTCATCTGTAAGGTCACAATATTAATATTAAAGTTTAGTGTTTTGTAAGTTGACATCCTTGGCGATCTCCAAAAAGTGATATACCCTTTCATTATAGAACAGGGATAACAAACTTTCACACCAAGGCCAATAACATTTTCTTTTTTGACATAATCAAACATGCATAATATAGTAAGAATCAATCTGCCAATCATTTTTTTGTCAGAGCGACCCTCAAAAATTGGAGCTTGTCATCTCTGGTGCCTGATATAGTACATTTTAGAAAATTATACCAGCTGTAAATATTACATCCTTGTTTTTACTAGACCTGCTGAAGATACGGTTTCTCAAACAAGCCCTGCTAAGAAGACACAAGAGGTAAATAACATACATTGTTTTTAGGTTTTGCAATAGTTGTGTTGTGAAGTTACATTATATTTACAGTAATATTGTCTGGAAAAACCTCATCAGTTTAACAGTTGACAAGCCCTGCTGCTACTGCTTATCCAGAAGAAGACTATTTATTGGGAGATTTTATGCTGAAATTGAACCCCCTCCATTAATATATTATGTATTATTAATATCACATGAAGATAGCATATGTTATAAACATGTTGTACATGATCTTGAATGGGCTAGTGGTGAACTATGTGAAGTAAGAAGAGAATGGAGTTAACTATAGTTGCAGAGACGTTTGCCTAAAAGTGGAATTGCCTTGCCAAGTCTATACATTCCCAGTTTAATCAATGGACCCCAATTATTATTAAACCGTTTGCAGCCTCATGAAATAACCAAAGGGTAAAATGTTATCTTGGCAAAGAAGACCAGCCAGCCTGTATTTTATAGAATATTTTACATAATGGCTGATCATGTTCTAATGAAGTAATTATATTGTTTCAGATGAGTACAACAGATGCTTTAACCATGATGGGCGCAATACCTTCTGGGTTCCGCTCGTCAACTCTGGCACAGCTTTTAGAGCAAGGTAAAAGTGCCCTTTGTTCAAATATGTAGATGCTGGATACTTTTTACTGAACTAACTTTGATATGTTGGGAGTTCATGTTCATCAATGCAGTTTATCAGGTTCTATCCAACTGTATCATTTATTTTAATTTTTTTTAATATGTGATTTTTTTCTTTTGAGCGTGTAGGACATTACAGTTTTACTTATTGTATATTAACAAATTGTTTATAATAAAGACAAAATTTATGATGTTAGTGTCTTAAGCTTGTTACAGGCTAAAATGATTAGATACCAAACAAGTCCAAACGTGCTGCTGCTCGTATCTGTAACGCACATTTGGCTGCATAATATAAATAAAAGGCACAGTTTCTCCTTATCATTAAAGTGAATTGGCACTTATGTAATATATAAACATGAATGAAAACCTCTAATTAAAAATTGAAGTTATTTCAGATTCCACTGCAAGTATCACCATTGAATGTATATATATAAATAATATGTCACTGCATCACAATCTGCAATACCACTAACAATAAGTAAACAATCTCATGCCTAAATTTGCCTAAAACGTTTTCTTTACATTTCTATGTGGGTGTTTTCCACTGTAATTTTAGGGTTTCTTAAATCTCTTTAAGTACGGGTGACAGGCAGGAGAATTGCCTGCAGTAAGAATACTGATGATTCTGGAAAGGTTTACAAACTCTCTTGCCATTTAAGATATTTTACTCTGAATTGTTTATTAGTGATTCGTTTGGTCCCTGGCTAAACTGTACACAATTTCATTTTTACATAGGTGATCAATTTAGAGCTAATATGTTCCTCCAACCAGAACTCACCCCTTCTCAGCTGGCATTTAAGGATCTGTTATGGGACCAGGAGAGAGATGGTGTAAGTAATAGTTGTGACAGTCTCTGAATCATTTTTGCATGTATTAAACTGCAGGTGTTCACTATGTATTAATGGGTTATGTGGCCTTCATTCACTCGATGCTAGGTTCAGCAGCTTAGCATCTTTGCAAATGTATAACTAGGCTTGAGGCATGTTATACCACCAGGTTTTCTGTATAAAGCTCTAAAACGATGTGCACAGAAATATGAAACTTGCAGAAAGAAAAAAACTGACTATCCCCAAATCATATCCAACGTGCCCTCTTTAAACCCCTTAAGGACCAAACTTCTGGAATAAAAGGGAATCATGACATGTCACACATGTCATGTGTCCTTAAGGGGTTAAAAGGAAAACTGTAGGCACTATAACTTCTTCATCTCATTAACGTGGTTATTGTGTCTGGAGGTCTTTGGCTGAGAGTCTAACATGGTATAGCTAAAAGGGAGTGAGTAATCTCTGCCTTAGTTATACCTCTAGTAGGGGCTGTGCTGTAGGTATCCCTTATTTAGTGTTAAACTGCTCATAATAGTTTAACACTGAATGAAGTGACAGTGCCATGGGTCTCCAGGCACTATAACAAATCCAATGAGATAAAATGTTTACAGTGTCCATTTAAAGGAACACTATAGGCACCTATACCAATAAATCTCAGTGAAGTCTTTGTCCAGTGTCCCTGTTCCCCTTAGACCTGCAATGTAAAACATTTTATATTTAGACAAGTTAAGACTGCCTCTAGTGGCTGTCTACCAGACAGACATTAGAAGTGCATCCTGCAGTTCCTCAGAGTGTGACTCCGTGAAACAATGCTGGACGTCCTTACACTTTGCATGAGGACATCCAGTGTCAAGCAAAACTCAGTAGAAATGAATTGACTCAGTGCTTATGGGAAAGGCATAATGCACGCACATATTGATGCTCAATGTACGTGCGCATTAGGTCCCCCCGATCGGCTTACATTTACTGAGTAGGAGTAAGTGAATTAAAGTTTTCATTTTTTTTTTTAAATGTTAAAACAATATCAGGGGCAGAGATGGGCTGCAGGGGCAGAGGAGCACTTTGATATTAGAAATACATATTTGTTCCTTTAACTAGAGAAAAGGAATTCTTAATACTACAGCCGTTTAGATGGAGTGAATCCTGTGAATTATTGATAACACTAATCAGGATTATTTACTATGTAGTTTGCAAATACAGGAGATTAAAAAAATATATTATTTTGGGGGTGGGGCCTGCCCACCAAGATGGCCGGACTTATTTCCGCTTAGCTCTGACCCATCCGAGCACAAAATCAGCCCTAACTGCTCCTAATCTCATTGATTTAAGCCACACAGGAGTTATGGCCCGACATATACCAAGCGAGAACAAGTCAACGCCTGATTTGTGCCGCTATTCTGGACATTCAAGTCGTCTGACCATGCGGCCTAGCCGGTCTAGTGGCCTAGTGACCGAGGGAGACTGCTGATCTCCCGTGGCTATGTTTGCAAGTCTGTCAATCTTATGTACAGCAAAAATAAAGAATTTAAAAAAGAAAATACTCTTTCTGCATTCTTTTCTTTTTGAAGCAAAACCTGTTTAGTTGCTGTTACATTATTGAACATTATTATAAGCCTTCAAGGCGCAGTTTGAGATAAAGTAAGAGATATATATATATATATATATATATATATATATATATATATATATATATATATATATATATAGTAAATGTTTTCTCTTACGTCCAACACTGTCCGCATGGGGAGTGCCTCTTATTTTTACTTTTTTTTGGTTTTGAAAAACGCATCAATTTTGCATTTTTCTCCTAAAGGATACATTTATTTATTTGGCTATTGGCGAACTGGAATGTGGGGAGGTAAATTTTACGTCAAACATAGCCAGAACAAAAAATATTAGCGCAAACAAAATTACCCTTATTTTTATAAATTTTAATTAAATGATTTCCACTAAATATGTTTCATTTTTATATATTTATTTTTAAATACTTACATGAAAGTTTCCCAGCAACTTGAACAAAATGCTTTTTATTTTAAGAATGTTTTTGATTTTATTTCATTTGTTTCTTGATCTAGATTGAATCTGGATTCCAATCAGTTTGTTGACTAGAGTAGATATAGTTAGCAAAAGCTTGGTTGTGGACAAGTTTGAATGTGGAAGATATTTGCCCCAAGGTGTCAGTTGTGATAGTAAATTTATCTCGCGTTCAAGATTCAGATGTTTTCGGATTTTCAAAAGGTGAAAAAATTAGAAAAGTAAGCTTGCTGTTGTGATCATACAGGGTTACAATCTATTGCCTTGAAAGGTTTTAAGATGTTATATATTAAGCCTAAAATTTCACAATCTTGGTAGAACAGTGGGTCACATCCATTTGTCATCCTTTGGTAATTAAAGAGTTCCCATGTACACAGTGATTTACTAGAGCTGTAACAATTGAAGTCAAAGCCAAGTTACTCCAACAGTGCAATTTAATAACTGGCAAAATTTTGCTGTGATGTCAGTTGGTTAAATTTTCCGAGTATTTTTTTAGTAAACCATGGAAACTTTGATGCCATTTCCTATTTACCAAATGACATGGTTGTTTTATTGGCTGAAAAAAACTTTTTACTGGTGTTTCTCCGTGAGCAGCTCATGGATCAGATCGACCAAATGAAGATCTTGATTGAAGATTTTCAAATCTGCGTTTGCCACTATTAGATTAAACCTATTCATCATTACTGATGTATCTGGTCATTCTATTAATTTAAATATGACCATTCAACTTCATTTCTATTTATTTCCAACTGTGCAAATCTCCATGTTTCTGTAATTTTTGTGTATCCGTTACATTTCTCATGGCTTTATAAACTGTAAATGATTTATCTCAAGGATGCCTTTTTATCATTAACCTTCTCTTTCTTTGTCCGAGAAGTAATAAATGTGAATATTACTTCAGAATGTGTAATAGATGTCTAGATATCAAGATATATCCTGTGATTTACTAGTATTCACCTTGGTGCCAAGTTAAATTCAGAAGGATACTGTTTGCATATAGTTTGCAAGTCCCAGTCTTTTTAAATCTGGTCATATTATTCTTAGAGAGAGATTGACTGTGTCACTTTGTGTAGTGAGAGTCGCATTCACCTTCAGTCTTATGTTTTATGATGTCTTCAGGACCTCTTACTGGCATTATGTTTAAATAATACAGGAGTGACATTAATTGAGGAAAAATCAATCTGATTCAGATTACCGATGTATATTATTTTGCAGAAACAAGCAGTTTATGAGCTGTGCATACAGAAAAAGCTTAATCTCATTTTTAAATTTTTTTTTTCTAGATTCAAGCACTGCCTGCCCGGGCCTCTTGTATTTTGACTTTGTGGAGCTGTAAAATGATACCTTTGCCTGCAGCTAGCATTCAGATACTAAGCAGGCATGTGAGACTTTGCCTGTTTGATGGCAATAAGGTGAGTACATATATTATATGCTACACTTGCATTTTTATTTTACAGTTCTGCTGCTTTAATAAGTAATTATGCATGTTCAGGGAACACTATCACTTACATTGAGTAAAAAGCCTCATTAATGTAGCCGAATTGATCCAAAATCAAGATTATTGGCATTTAATTTAAGGACATATAACTTGGGAATCAATTCCAATAGAATCTTCAAAATAAATACATAAAAAAGATGAGCTATGTATGTAAGGCAAAGTGTATGAAAGAAAATATCAAATTGCACCCCCCGCTGTGCCCTATTCCCAGTAGGGAGTCAAGACAACCTGCTTCCTTGTTTTGTATATGGGATGAAAGACGTTAGAAAAATGTGCATAGGTGTCTGGGTCCCCAGAAACTACAGGATAATAATTCTCCTTATCCACTCAAAGTACAAGATAAATTAAAGGGGGTCTGGAATGTCCTCTACTTCTTATTCTCTCATACCATGGGTGTAAGTGTGACAGTTACTAACACTGTATGGATGGACAGATAGCTGCCCACTTGCTTCTTTCTTGGTAATGTGATATTAGGTGGGGGATTTATGGACAGACCTCCAAATCTGATGTTTCTAACCTATGGTACTAACGTTTTGTATGATTGAAGTTGACCGTTTGATTTGTTGAGTGAAAATGTTTGTTATTCCATAGTAGGGAGGTGCAAATCTCTGCTTCTTATTTACTTCTCGAGTGAACGCCAAAATATATTTACAAACCTTAAACAAAATTCAGCAAACAATAGTTCATTAGAAAAGTGTCAGTTATATGAATTGGAAAAACCAAGTTTTACAATCATTTTATTGAACACAGTCCAGAACAGATGTGAGAAGATAAAAATAAAACCTACATTCCACATGGCTTTCTTGAAATCATTAGAAGTTAGAACCAACTTTGAATTTCACTTCCTGACTTTTACCCACATAGCTTTTCTCTTTAGCCTTTTATACCATATGATATGATCACAATTATTCCCCGCAGTGTGAATTGTCGGGAGTTCAAAGTGAATTCCACATTGTATGCAAAAATATTCAAACTGAAAACATGGAGAATTTGGAGAATTTATTTGGCTAGACTGGTCTAAAATTAGAATTTCACCTTAAACTTGCTACTGTTCACTCGTTAGTGAATAACCCTGTAAGTGATTACAGAAACTAAACTTACCTACATTATCCAATTGTACAGCACTGTGGAATATGTTGGCGCTTTATAAATGCCAGTAATGTATAAATTATGACAGCAAAGTAACAACTGCAGCGGTGAAAACATTTAGTTTAGAATCAGGTCCCGTGTTTTCTTAATACAAAATTGAGCATGTTTTCTCCAGTATTTATATTCTGTCCAACACTTCCTTTTAGGTTTTAAGCAACATCCATACTGTCAGAGCAACATGGCTACCCAAAAATTCAAAAACATGGACTTTTTCTCCACGGGTGAGTCTGACGTTAAATACAGGGCATCTGGTATTGGTGCTTAGTTTACAACACTTATTGCTCCTGTTGCCTTGAGACAAGGATGCTATTATATATTCATACTAAAGTTTAATTCATCCTCGCATTCGTAGCTGTATTCAAAATCCTGACAACCTTTTCATATGTGTGTAAAAATGAACAACAATTACTGTGTGGATGCAATTAACCAGACTCTTTAGATCTGGCAATATTGTGTTAGTGTATGATTGACAGCTCCATGACAGGTAACTTGCCAGGAATGCAAGAGGATGGCTGTCCATGTAAGAGGATTTGCCCTACCCTTATTGTGATGGAGTTATTAACAGATAGGAATGCAGTATGTATTATTAGCAAGCATTTCTGAATATTTGCTGACTGCTATATTGAAACTAATAAATGACATGTGTGATAAAAAGTACATTATATTGATTTTACTTATATTTATTATCTACAAGCCTTTTTAAACTGATTATGTATTAGAAAGTGCACACCTGCTTTATGCAACTCAAAACTGTAATTCTTAGACATGAAAAATGGAATTGGGACAGAATATGTTTACTTTAGTTGTACTTGCCCTGTTTTATGGGACAAATAATGAAAAGGCTAGATTTTCTTCCTGGGAAGATATAAGTAGGAAAATTACATAAGGCAAAGGTTAACAAAAGGCAAAGCTACATTTTGTTAAAACCTTAGCCATCCCTAAGGACGGCTAAGGGGAAAAAGGCTCTTTCTAAGGAGGATCCCTTTGATTTTGCGTGATCCTCCAAAGACAGCAGTGTTGTCCTCCCCCGCAATGCGAACTACTTCCACTCCTGGCAGATGAGGTGCAGAGAGCTGAAGATCTTGAGGAAGAAGATTGCAGCGCCTGCGAGGGGCAGGATCAGGTAAATAAAAACTACCTACCCCTGCCCCCCCATGGGCACCGAATGCAAGCAGGGAAGTCACGATCTGGGGTCTTTGCAAACTGTGCAATATCTTGAGAAGGTGACATTAACAAAATATTTAAGAAAAGCATTTTTATTAGGTTGGCAGCCTTTATCTGGCTAACCAAATAAAAATGTTTTTCTTATATATGTTTTAACGGCATTCTCTCTCCATTGTGATTTCATGATATCATCTCATAATATTGCTTTATTTGCAGTTTACCCTGAGAAGTTAATGTTTTTTATTTTGCTTACATTGTTTCCACACTTCCAGTTCTCCTATGTTCTTCCACCTGTAAAATTTATATTGAAAGCCCAGCTTGATGATCTTTATTGTTCTTGTTGTGATTATAATAATGGTTTACTTTACTGACTATTGTTTGATAATTACTCATGTATAAACCACTGCTGATGATATCCCACAATCTCAATTCCACTGTTCCACTCAATTCCGATACTTTTCCGCAATAATTTTTCCATTAAAGAATTGATGAAGTAGCACCCTATACCTTATGTTAAGCAGTCAAGTTTGAGTGATCACAGTTCTACCAAAGAAGAGTTATCAACATTATAATGCAACCATCAGACACTTAGAGAATTTAACACCTAGAAATGACCAGAAATGTCACTGAGAAAAAGTTTTAAAATTGACTAACATTTCACAATATTTCTGTAAGTGTTCACGCATAAACAGACGGAACGCCACAACCATCTTCCCTGACTTGACATCATGTGGTAACAGCATCACCTGACCTAGCAATTTCTTGTTAATCCATTAAACCAATTAAAGGACTAATAAGCACTGTGTGACTAAACCGATAATTCAAGCTAACATGCATGTTCACAATACCTGACACATCTAGGAGTCACAATGTTCACACAACTGTCAAACTTGCTACCTATTAGCATCTTCAATGCACTTGGCTGTCCATCACCTTCAATCTTTACTTCAATTGAAAGTTGTGCCATTTTTTTATTTTTTATTTTGTCTTGGCATTAATTTTGAAACATGAATGTTGTGAGCTCTATATTGTGAGGTTAACTGTTAAATCACAAGTTAGGCTGGTTTTAAGTTAATAATGCAGACATCCCAAGTCTCCCGGTAGGTCGCATATTTAATGTGGCTCCCTGACACCCGCATGCCATGTGTAATATCCCAGAAATCACACACACAATCTGACATACAATGTCAGTATATGCATCTGCGTGTGTATCTGTGGGTATATGCCAGTTTGTCTGTGCTATTTGTGTGTGTGTGTGTATTTTGTGTGTGCCCATGTGGGTATCCATGTGTGTATGTGCCTGTGCATGTATCTGTGTGTCAAGTTGTGTGTGTGTGTGTCAGTGTGTATCAGTGTGTCAAGGTATGTGCATATGTCCATGTGTGTAAATAGTTGCAATATGTTGTGTGGTGGCCCATGTGTGGGTGCCCACTTGGTCATGGGGGGGAGGGAGGGAGGGCATATGGGGGGAAGGTGCAGCCATCTCCC